CAATTCTAACTCCATCAAAACTGAAAAGTTCGAGATTCTGGAGTACAAGACCTTTATCAAACAGCTTGTGTTGTTCAAACTCTGTCCCACTGAACTGTGTTTTTTTTTGTATATTTAGTATCCTCCCCTAAATTTTGCTTTGTATATAATTAGCAGAGTCACAGCAGAACACATTAGTTGATAAGTTTGATCCCCCCCCCCCCCCCCCCCCTATATGTAAATTTAGCTATAGGTCCAGATTTGTAATAGAATTTTTTCAAAGAGTACCAACACGTTAAAATGTACAATTTCAACTGGATACATTATGGAATGTTCTAATTTCACATATAACACATCTGGCATATCCTTTTACAACAGACTCTTGAGAACTTGGAAACAAAAAGAGAAAAAAAACACCCAGAAACATGCAACTTTGTGGTATTCATATACTCTGCTTGCAGGACACGTTTTTGTATGTTTTTTTCTATTGTTGAGATTTGCTTCAAACTTACAAAGCATGGAGAATTAACTGTGTATAAACATGCACGCAATACACTTGTCAATCACCAGTAATAACCACGAATCACATTACCGACTGAACTCAGCACGAGACATATCAACATGCATGTGCCTAACGATTGAACTCAGCACGAGACATATCAACATGCATGTGCCTAACGATTGAACTCAGCACGAGACATATCAACATGCATGTGCCTAATGATTGAACTCAGCATGAGACATATCAACATGGATGTGCCTTACGATTGAACTCAGCACGAGACATATCAACATGCATGTGCCTAACGATTGAACTCAGCACGAGACATATCAACATGCATGTGCCTAACGATTGAACTCGGCACGAGACATATCAACATGCATGTGCCTAACGATTGACTCAGCACGAGAGACATATCAAAATACATGTGCCTAACAAATTTCATTGAAATCAACCCATTACTAGGGCCCTAATTGTACGGAAACCAATGAGTCAATCATAATGTACAAGTCTCATTTATTGTGCGTAAATATGCACCCATTGTACTGACAATCAAACTCAGCCTCAAACATGTTGATATGTATATGTATACCAAAGCGCTATAACATAATTGCCAATTTTTTGAAATTTCCATGGGGGAGATGATACATGTTCAGAATTAAAACATAAATGTGTGTATGTATACCCTTGTGAAGAAATAACACTTTTAAATGGCATCTTTTGTGCTGTTTTCAGATGAAATCATCAGATCTAAGTAAATAGGACTAGTTTGGCAAATTTACTTCTTGAAAATGCTCAATTTTAGGGTCCAAAATCGAGAGTCTCTCTCCTAAATAGGGAGAGTTGTCTCCTAAATAGGGAGAGTTGGCAAGTATGCTATAAGGACGTTAAGGGTCAATTCCAGTCCCATTAGGGTTTTAGAATTTGTTGTTATATTCGTAATCTGGGATAAATGAAGTATGCAAATATGAAATTTCAAATTCATTCGACAACTGGTATAGGAGATATCTCGTAACAAAGAGAGTTATAAACCAACATTTTTCACAATAAGATGTGTGAACATCATCTATTATGTTGAACATTTGGTATTTTGAAAATTAACAAAATTCTGTTCAATTTTGAAAGCCTTCACATGCACCAACCAAATACATATTTGGCATGTTTAAACATTGTCATACCAGTGGTCATTTGTAGAAAGGAATTTTTGGTTGTCACATGGTGACAACTTCATTTCTGCATGCTAACTGTCTAAAAACACCATATTTTGGCTATTTCTGCATAGCAACGCAATTTGGTTGCTATGGTGGAACATCTATGCATGCCCAATGAAAAAACTTATACAAAATTGAGTCCTTATTGACGAAGGTTGTTCACCTCAATTTCCCCTTTTGGGCCTCCGTCCCTCTACCCCCAAGGGGGGACCACACCCTCCATTAACACAAAATTGAGTCCCCTTTGCCTAAGGATGCTCCAGGCCAAATTAAACAAGAGGCCCAGAGGGCCTGTATCGCTCACCTGATTATGTTTAAAATAATTGGTATGAAGTAAAGATATAGCACTCCATGGTAGGTGCTGTAAATACATATGAAATTTCATAAAGATTCATCCAGTCCTTGAGATATAGCGAGAACAAACTTCAAACAGTGCCCCACCCCTAAATAAGGATAAAATCCCTTAATCCCGATGGTCGAAGAAGGATTTTAAAGGTTTTACCTCTATTTCTCCTATTTGGCCCCGCCCTTTTGCCCCCTGGGAGACCACATCCACTATTTATACAAAATTGAGTCCCCTTGGCCCAAGGATGCTCCACACAAAATATGGACCAAATCCTTTCATTCCTACAGAATAAGAAGGATTTTAAAGAATAATTTGCTGTTTCCCTATTGGTCCCGGCCCCTGGTGGGCCAGACCCACGGCTTATACAAAATTGATTCCCCCTCACCAAAGGATGATTCAGACCAAATATTGAACAAATCCTTTCATTCCTACAGAAGAAGAAGGATTTTAAAGAATTTGCTATATTTCCCCTATTGGGCCCCGCCGCTCAGGCCCCTGGGGGGCCAGACCCATAATTTATACACAATTGAGTCTCCTTGGCCTAAGGATGCTCCAGACTTAATTCGGATAAAATCTCTTAATCCCTATGATAGAAGAAGGATTTTAAAGGTTTTACCTCTATTTCCCCTGTAGGGCCCCATCCCTCGGCCCCCAGGGGGGCCACACCCACCATTTATACAAAATTGAGTTCCCTTGGCCTAAGGATACTCTAGACCAAATTTAGTGAAAATCTACTTAGCCGTTCAGGACTAGTAGTGTTTTAAAGGAAAAGTTGACGGACGAACGACGGACGCCGTTCGGGCAGGTGAGCTAATAAAACCACTGAGCCATTCAGCACAAATTGCATTTTAAAAGAAAAATTGACATATAGAGGGACGGACAGACAATGAATGCCACGCCAACGCATAAGCTAAATAGTCCTGTTGATCAGGCGAGTTTAAAATGTGAAAAGTAACAACAGACAAAAAGTTATCCAAACAGAGTCTTTGGCTACAGTGATTAAGAAAACAACTGAAAACACCATTTCTAGATTAAAACACATACCTGGTAGATCAATGAGTGCAATAAAACATCTTGGAATGCATGTTGTTGCAAGTTACTCATGATATTGAGCAGACACTGTTTCAGCAATAACTCCCTAAATTACTGTCAGATAACAGTGGATATCAAATGTGTTTGTGCTTTCATGGTAATTGATCTTCCAATGAAGTTTGAAGTAAATCCACTGAAAATTACTACTTGAGTTATCATGTAGACACTTTCAGCAATTGATTATAGGGGCATAACACAAAACTCAATGTGAGGTCTTCACAAAATTCAGTCCCCCTTGCCCAAGGCTGCTCAAGGCAAAATTGAGTCAAAATCTGCAAAGCTGTTCAGGACTAGTAGTATCTTTAAGAAAAGTTGACAGAAGGACGGCCGGCAGACGCTGCACCATTGCCTCAGCTAACCAGTCCTTTGGATTTGGACCAGGTGAGCTAAAGAAAGATCAGAAAAGGACCCTACCGCTCACATGAGATTGACCAAAGAACCAGTTAAATTGTTTAACATATTTGACTCCTGTGACTGTGAAAGTCTTCGAAGGTCATTCAGCTGAAGGTAGCCCTTCCTTTCAGCATTCTTCTGGCCAAATATCACCAACTGGGGCCATTTGTTTATAGAAAAAAACTGTGAACTTGAAAGTGGGTCAAGGACATTTTGTGTTTGCCTATTATCCTTGCATGCTACTGACCGAATATCATCACTCTATACCTCTTGGTTATTAAGAAGAACTTATCTATTTTTTTTTTTTACATATTTGACCCCTGTGACTTTGAAGGTTTAAGGTCAATAAGTAAAACAAACCTCATAGCCTTTCATGCAAGCATGCAAGCGGCAAAATTCAGATGAAGTCAGCTAAGTTCTTTAACACATTTAAACCCCTGTGACCTTGAATATCGACGAAGGTCAATCATTTGAACATGCTACTACCCAAATATCATCTAGGCCTCATTGTTATTAAGATAAGATGTGGTTTGAATCAAAATCTTAACACCGACAATTAATGCTGCACCTAGGTCCAACGACACTGTGGAGGGATGTTACTGAAGAGGAGGGATGACATAAGCCCTTTGGGTCAGATGAGCTAATCACTGTCATGGTGGCTATACTGGATTCCAAATTGGCCCCCAAATAACGACTGATCAGGACGATTCAATCATTATTTCCAGAAAGTTTTTGCAACATCCATAAAATTTGTGATTTAATCCCAAGATGACTTACAAGACAGTCATATAAAGTTTCAGCAACCTGCCTCAGTAGAATTCTCTTTTGAGAGCTAAATCCAAAAGTCAGCAATGTCCCACAAGTGTTAAATGGCCACTTGTAATTATTATAATCATTACAGTATTTATTACAATCTTTACAGTAATTATCATAATCTATACACTATTTATTACAATCGTTACGGTAATTATTATAATCTATACAGTATTTATTACAATCTTTACAGTAATTATTATAATCTATACAGTATTTATTACAATCTTTACAGTAATTATTATAATCTATACAGTAATTATTATAATCTTTAGATACAAATATCTACCAAGTTCCACAAGAAAATTGTATGCTTATATTTATGAGGAGCTAATAGTTCAGAAAAGCATTGCAATTATTTTGACCTCACGCATGGTAAATATGATGGTCTGTAAAAGCACTACAATGACTTCGACTTTCAACCTTTATTACCATTCAGACATTTAATCAACAGGCATAGCACTAAAGTGGTTTCATATATTAAAGTGTATTGCAATATCTCCTTGGTTCCAAAAAGACTTCTGATAATTGTAGTAAGTAAATATCAAACATTTCCTGAATTGTTATATCCTTTTATCCAAGGAACATCCCGATATCAACCAATCATACCGAAATATCATAAACATTACAAAAAAAAAAAAAAAAAAAAAAAAAAAAAAAAAAAAAAACNACAATAGTATCATAATGACATCATTAGTCACATCTTTCTGGACTGATGTGGTGCGAAGAAGTGTATATTTTTTCCCATTTTTTTGTGGGGTGGGATGGTGGGAGGTTATTTAGTACAAAAAATGTATGGACACCTTTAGATACTTTAAAGATAGTATGAAATTGATTAAACTAGTGATGGATGAGTCCTGCACAAGTAAGTAGAAGCTATAATGTTGTTGACAGAGAAGTAAACAAGTGAGACAGGTCTAGTAAGTGTCCAGTGACCTGCCCTCTGGCTCATTCCTGTGTCCTCCACTTCACTTGTCTCACTTCAGGCAATACAGGCCCAAAGTGTGAGATTCAAGCCCAATAAAGCCTGGACCATCAGGTAGGGCTAAAGTTCATCACACTGCTGTAGAACTCTTGGGCCTGTTTTTGCCCCTTCTCTGAGCCAGAGTAGAGGCTCCTACAGGTTCCAGGACTGGTTTCGGCTGGTCTTTAAGCGCCTCAAATGTGGCATGCATTGCTCCCTGCAAAAATGAAAAAAGTAACGTGTTCAATTAATCACATGGTTTTTATTTATTGTCTGCAGCTCAAAAACCATTGCAATCTTACAATATGACTTAAGAGATCAAAAGTAAAATCCCCTCCCTGGTGATAACATATATACCGTATAGCTTTAGAAATATACTTTTTTGTTAATTGACCATATTTCTATTAGAACGGGGTCGAGAATACTTAAGCAGATGCAGTCACTGAACACACATCATAAATTGCATTAATTCTTATATTGTTGGTGTTTTATGTGCATGTCAACACATCAGCATTCCTGACCACTGAAAATATCGTCCAATTGCAATGCAATTGAAAAAAGAGGCCCATGGGCCTTAAAGGGGCATCACGCTAAAGTAACTATTTTTGTGTCTTTTTTTCAAATACTTCATAAACATATCAAGTGAGACTCCTTATGGAAAATAACGATTGGATTTGGCTGAAATAGATTCATAAAAATGATTAAATCTAAGATAATCATCGGTATTTCTACCTGTCTGACCAACGTTTTGTTCAGGGATCTCCCTCTACTAGCGCATGCACATTGCACACCATTTCTTTGTAAACAAGTGTTGTACCGTGTCAGCTACGAAGCGAAAAGTTGCCAAATGGTCAAAAGATAGCGCAAGGAGTACGTTACGGAATCATTATTACAGGTGGGAAGTATTCGAAAGAGAAAATAACTGCCCTAGCAGTTAGTACGGTGCATGTATTCTTCCAGATAGCCGGTTAAGCTGAAATGGAATCGACAGAAATGCTAGC